GCCAGGGGACAGGTGAGGGCTGGAAAGTTTATTTGGTGAACACTGCCTTGCTTAGAAAGAAATTTACATCATTTAAATTTAAAACTTCAAACTGAAGCACCCATGCTTTTTTCTCTCTCCCTTTCTCTTTCCCTCCCTCCCTTCCTTCCTTCCCTCCTTTCACCTCTCCCTCTCCAGCACTCTACTACTGAGATACATCCCCAGTACTTCTTATTTTTTGAGACAGGGTTTTGCTAAATTGTTGAGGCTAGCCTCAAATCTGTGATCTTCCTGCCTCCGCCTCCCTAGGATTACAGGCATGTGCCACTGTGCCCAGCTACCTATGCTTTCTAACCTGCCCCAAACCTGTACCTCCTGAGATCTTCCTAGCTGGAGTAAGGGGCACCACCTTTACCCTGGTACTCAGAGCCCACACTTGGGGATGGTATGATGGTCTATTCTCTAGCCTCTAGCTCCCTGGCTCTGCCAGCTCCACCTTCACACTAACCCCCAAGCCCATCATTTTGCATCTTCTCCCACACCGCATCTGCCTGGGACTTCTACGATAGCCTGTGACTCGCGCCCCTCCTGACAGTGCCTCCTTTATCTGGAACTCCTTTGAGACCCAGGGCAGACACACCGTTGCCCTGTGCAGAGGTCTCAGTGGCTTCCTCTGGCAACTGGGATAAACATCAAGTCTTCCCCTGGCTCCTGTCACTCTGTGGCCTCAATGGGGACCGACCTCTGTCTACTCATTGCCAAGGAGTCACATGGGTTTCTGCTGCCCCTTAAACTCTCCCTCTGAGCTGAGTGCACCAGGTCTGTTGTACTCATTCCTCCCTGAGTAGAACATTCTCTCTAGCTGTTTGTATAGCTTGCCCTGGAAATTCTCACAGGTGAGTGACTCCGAGGTACCTTTGGCCCCACCAACGAGGAACTTCTCATCCCCTCTCAGAACTAACTTGCTTCCCTTTCTTCTGGGTGCTTTTCATCCGGGATGTGAGATCTGGTTAACTATTGTTTATTGACTTTCTCCCCAGTGAGAATGCAAGGTGGCCTGTTTTGGGTCCCTACTGTGTTCCCACAGCACAATGCTGGGCACATAAAGAAGTTGTTAAATGGATAAATGAGTACATGCCATTGCCAAGAGACGGGTCCTCCATTTTCACTGTACCAGGGTCCACGTGCAAGGGAATTTACGAGCATTAGCTCACTGGGTTTCCATAAGGATCTTGGGAGGCAGGTACTCGTAATTCCATTTTACAAATAAGAAATGCAAGGCTCAAAAAGATCCAAGAGAGACCACACAGCCAGTGACAGACAGAGCCAGTTTTGATGCCAAGTCAGCCTGCGCCGAGGGCCACCCCCCCTGCTCTGCGCCAGTCGCAGGCATGACTGGTGCCCGGCTCTGATGGGCCTCTGCCCAAGTGTTCTGGGAATTATTTCACCCCATAGTTTGCTCCCTCATTATAAATGACTGTCATTCATTTGTTTTAAGGGCCCTTTCTGTCTTTTATCCTTACAAATTCTGGTTTGCCAAACAAGAACTCCCAAGAGTTCTTTTATTTATTTATTTAGTTTTGCCACACTGGGGTTGAAGGCCAGGGCCTTACGCAGGCTAGGTAAATGCCCTACCATTGAGCTGCAGCCCCAGCATCCATCCAGGAGTTCTTGCCACATCAGTAAGTCTGGATGGAGTGGGAGAGGTGTCCCACCTCATGGTGCTAATGCACTTACCTCCAAGCTCACTGGCCTCTGTTGATCTGGTGGTGAGGAGTCTGCTCAACCCATCCTGCAGAGGAAGAGGAAGACCTTCTCGGGAGTCATTTAGCTCAAGACACTGTGTTCCATATTCACAATGAAAATTTTCATGTTCATAAAGACAACTGGTAGTAGCACAGTACTTGGGAAAGAATTTCTGCCCGTTAAATTTAGGGTCCTGAAAACATTCCAAACCAAGAATATTTTCTGGCAAGTGCCGTACAGCCTTTTCTTCTGATGCTGAACAAGAAACTTTTATCTTTTTTTCCCCTTCTGTGTGCCCTGGCTTCCCCGTGATCTGTGCCCATCAGTGCCATGGCTCTGCAACCTCCCTGCTGCTCCGGGTGTTACCTCTTGCTTACCATTGAGTGTGGGAGACCCGTCCTACTGCCAGAGTGGGTGCTGGCTAAAATGTGCAGGTACGCTTTGACTTCCAGTCTGGTTTCTTCCTTACAAACCCAATTGCCATGTTTTCTCTGGGAGCCTAAGGAAGAACAGGGCTCTAGAATTTTCTCTCCTACTTCTGGACTTCTTCTTCTGCCTGGATATGTGCAAATGATCACTCTTTGTATTCCTCTTCATACTAGCTTTCCAGTTCAATCCCCAGCCCAGGCTTCCAGGGCTTGGGTGGCCCTGCTCCCACTCTGCCCCACTCCATCCGATCTCTCTTGCTTTGGAGTACACCACTACCCACAGTGAACACTCATGGTAGGCACTTTGCAGGTACAAACTCACTGATCTCCAGGTACCCTGTATTTGACAGAGGAGGGAACTGGGGCTTAGAGAGATTAAATGATTTGCCCAAGGTCGCACAACTGGGAAGGTGGAGACGGCAGGATGTATAGCTTGGCTTAATTACACTGCTCTTCTGCTTCATGGCATTTAGGGCTAAGAGCAGGAACTTTGGGCAAAACTAATCTTATAGTTAAACATCTTGCATATACCTTTACCAAGGGACCCTGGGCAAGTCAATTCATCTCACAGGAACTGTTTCTTCTATGAAGTGGATCTACATTCATTCCAGAGTCACTGGGTAAATTTTAGGGATGAGATGTGATCACAGCAAGCAGTAAACCTGACCCCAGAGATGTAATGGTGGTCCCCTCTGCAGGGCTACCACTCTGCTCCTGTGCTATGTGATCAGGGGACTGGAAGGAGGGTGGCAGCCATAGTCTCCAGTCTCCTAGATGATGTTGCCGGCTGAGAAGGAGTCATCCTGGAACTGAGGCCAGCCTCCAACCTTATCCTAGGAGGCACTTTATGTCCCTCCGCCATTTGGCTGTCTGTCTGCAGGATTATGTTCCAGCGTCCACTGAGCAAGGGAATCTGGACCGGCTAGGTGCCCCAAATGACTTGTGATAAGGAAAAAAAAAAAGTAATTTTAAGAGAGGCAGATGACTCTGGTTGTTATGTTTCTGTATCTTCCACACGTCATCATGACACTCGAACATACACATTCCTATTCCACACATTAACTGTTAAGGGGACAACTGCCACCAAGTCAACCCTCCACTCCCCAAAAGGAACCAAAGTCTGTTCAGAAACAAACTCCAATTAAAAGAAAATAACAAAACAAAAAAAACCCTCAAACTTTACTTGCATTTAGCCATTAATAAATAATTTACAGTATGTACATGCGGTGACACTCCACACAGGTCGCAGACACATGGACGCAGTGAGGGGTCCCCACTTCCAAGCAGAATGTGATCAAACACAACCAAAATAAAGTGCTTCAACTTTTTACTTCCAACATAGGGATCATCTAAAAACCCAGCAGGGAGAGGAAGGGGCTGGGTGAGCCCCTCCTACCAGCCCATGTGGTTTTGGCAGAGGGAGGAGGACCTCTCGGAGGAAGGGGGGAGACGCAGGTTTCGCAGCCTCCTGGCCAGTGTATGAGAGGTCCCTGGGGAGCAGCAGAGGGGCTACTGCAGATGCTGATGGGAGGGGAGCAGGGCTGCAGGGCCACTGGCAGGACTGCCCACTGGGGCCAGCTGCACCTTTGGGAGTGAAGGCCAGCCCTTTGCTGGTCCCTGGGAGCCTCTGGAATAGCAGCAGAGGTGGGAATTGTTCTGGGTTTTTGTGGATGGGTACCCTGGGTTGAAACAAAGAGGGACTCAGGGTTCCCAGTGGCAGGTTTCTTCTGTGGCCACAGGGCTTGGGAAGGAGACCCTGCCCAGGAAGTTCAGGGCTGTGAGGCCTCTAAGACTCTGTTACTCCCCTCAGAATCCAGACATGGGTGGGCAGGGTGGAAAGTAGGGCTTCTGACCAGCAGCCAGGAGGCTGGTGAGGAGAAAGCAGAGGACGGGGCAGGCCAGCTGGCCCGATCCACTGCGTCTCCTGCCCATGCCCTGGGCTGGAACTCCCCTGCCGAGGAGCTCTTGCATCTGCTGCAGGGGAAGGAACCAAAGTCAAGAGATCTCTCCTCTGTGTAGACGTTTAGAACCAAGCACTTCAATTTCCTAAGCACAGTAGCGAAAGGACCAAGGGCAGAGCCAGAAAAGGGCACTGGAGCCTGTGACTGGCGTTGCTCAGACCACGTGCCGACATGCATTGATGGTTCAATTGCACAGCTGTCTGGGCAGGCGCCTGGGAACCTGAGCCTGAACCCAAGCCCATGGAAGCCCAATGCACACAGTGGTCTCCCTCCAGCTCCCAGGGAGGCTACAGATGGAAAGGCACCAGGAGGGCACAGCTTTTTGGCCACAAGGTGACGTCAATTTGCTAAAGATGTTGAACAGCACCCTCTGGGGGCATCCTGACCTTAAGGAGGCCCTGTCTGGGGAAGGAGCCTTGTGCAACTTGGCTGGGGTATCCCCGCAGGCTTAGTGTGTGCGAGTGTGCTCATATAAGAGTGTGTGTGTGCGCGCGTGCGGTGGGCGCAGGTGGCTCCACGAATCAGCGAGCAGCAGTCAGCTGGGCCTGTTTCAGTGCATTGCAAGGGGAAGAAGGAGCTGACTCTGACTGTTCCCAGTGTCTCTCTGGAGGGGTGGGGTGGGGCTTCAGCCTAAGGGGCTGGGTTTTGCACATTCACACTGCAGGGGTGGGGAGGAGGGGAGCTGCTCTCCCTCTCACACAGCTCTACTGTCACAAACATCACAGCACCTATCACCACAATCTTGTCACGTGCACTAGAGAGAGGGGCCGGGGCCCCACACCCCCAAGCCCTTGCCAGAGACAGCTCTGAGGAAACCGTCCCATGGGTCACCCTGCCAGAGGCTGCCTCTGCTCCTGAGAGTTGCCAGCCCACTGGCCCACAGACAGTGTGCCTGCCAGTCTGCACCCTGTTGGTGTCCCCAGCCCTCGCACTGAGGAGTAGGAGCCCCAAGGCTGGGGGTGGAGTCTGTGCATCCCTCCACATCCTCATGACGGCTGCCTTCCTACCACAACACAGGCAGCAGGGCGAGGAGGGCCAGGGTGCTGAGGAGCGGCCAGGGGGCCAGGGGCTGCCCCGCAGCGGCCACCCCGCCTGGCAGCTCCCGAGTCCTTTCATACAGGTGCAGTTTGTCCTTGTTGGAGTGGAGCATCTTGACGTCCTCCAGGGCGTAGTAGGCGGCCAGCGTGAAGTTCACGTCGCCTGTGGTGAGGAGGTCGAAGACGCAGGCCTGGTAGTACAGGTCCTCCACGGGCAGCTTCTCCTTGCACTTGGCCACGGCCGTCTCATAGGGGAACGTTTCAGGGGCCGCGGGGGCGGGGCTGGCGGCCACTGGCCTGCGGGCGTCGGGGCCCTCGGCGCTGGCCCGGAAGGCCTGGAAGTCGATCTGCTGGTTGAGCGGGCAGCCCCGCAGGCAGAGGTAGAGGCCCTGGCTGTCCCGGTCCTCCACGGCGTTGACCACCTCCTCGGGCATGCGGACCGCAAAGGTCAGGTAGCGGCCCACCTGGCGCACCACGATGGTGGTGCCGATGTACTTGGCCTGGATCTCCACGTGCTGGCCCGACACCTTCTCCGTGATCTTCAAGCTGTTGGCCCCGTGCCTGTCCCCGCCGTTCTTGGAGCCGTCGGCGAAGGCTGCCGGGAGCTCATCCATCTCGGCCTGGTACACCTTCTGGTCCACACACTCTTGGAAGTTCTTGAAGATGATGGTGAGCTGCGGGGAAGCAGGCAGAGGAGAGCGATCAGGCGAGGCGGGAGAAGGCTTGGCTTAAGGTGCTCTGGCCTGAGAGGAGGGTCCTGAGTGCCCCAGGGTTTCACTGACCCTCCCTTTCCCAGGATGGCCACAGCTCAGCTCCACCGGCACTGTGATACTTTTCTTTAAAACAACGGACCTTTTTTCACTTAAAAAAAAAAGTTTCTCAGTAGGTCACTGCCTTAGACAGAAAATCAGCTCACTGACCATATAGAGATGTGAACTAATAAACATAAAAGCTCATTTGAGAGAAAACTCACTCAAAACAAGAAGTCATGAGTCCACAGTGGCAGGCTGACAAGTGGCCCCCAAAGCTATAGGCCCCTATTCCCTGTAACCTGCCAGTGTTACATTTTACGGCAAGAGAAACTTGGCAGGAGTGATTCAGTTAAGGACACAGAGAAGGAGAATGATCTCTGTGTCATTCTGGATGATCTGGGTGAGTCCTAAATGCAATCACAAAGCATTCACACAAAAGTGAGCAGAGGTGATGGGGAAGGAGGACAGGAAGGACGTGTTAGCTTGGAAGAAGAGACTGGAATGATGTAGGGATAAGCCAAGCAATGCCAGAAGCCACCAAGTAGACTACAAGGATTGCTACATGAATGAAACTGGAAGAGAAAGAAACACCTTCTTCCACAGCTGCTCTCGAGGCCCAGCTGTTATGCCACAGGGAGCTCTGGCTGCCTCTAAAGGCACTGCCCTTCTGGACCAAGGGAGCTGGAACTTAGAATCCCAGTCTGGAGCCAGAGAGGCAGGGCTGTGCTGAGCAAGGTGGTACTCAGGCCTTTCAGGGCTCCCAGGCCCTGACCTCTTACTCTCAATGCCAAGATGCAGTAAATAGATTTCCCCTTGGAGCCTCCAGAGGGACCAGCCCTGCTGACAGCTTGATTCAGCCTCGTAAGGCTCATTTTGGACTTCTGCCCTCCAGCACTATAAGGATAAATTTATGTTGGTTGAAGTCACTTAATGTATGGTAATTTGTTATATGGCCCACAAACAAACATCATCTTGCATGGAACCTGTGGCACTTGCAGCACAATTCCTGAAAGACTGCGAGTGGCTAAGCTGAACAGCAGATGGATGGAGGAAACTGATGCTCAGAGAAAGAACGAATAGGCAAAATCCACAGACGCAAGTAGAGGAGGACAAAGGCCATTGTCCCAAGTCTGCTGTAAGAGGTCACATCAAGCTGGGCCTTGGAGAAGGGGAGCAGAAACAAGAGGCAAAGATGGAAGATACTGATCAACAAAATGAGACCAAGGCTTCAGGCTGCAGGCACAGCCAGCCAGAGCGGGGAGACCCATTTCCAGTGGAGCCTATAGCTGGGGTGAGCTGCTGGAGCAGAGGTGGATGGTCCAGTGACCCTGTTAGTAACCTGAGAACCACCTGTACAGGTGCACTCACTGGGTCTGGTGTGTGAGTCTCCTGGGGCACTGCAAGGGCAATGACATTACCCTCCATTACAGATGAGGAAACAGGCTCAGAGAGGTACAGTGACTTGCCAGAAGCCACACCGTCATCAAGAGGCAGAGCTAGAATGAGTTTCTGGATTTGCAGCTTCTGGGCTCTTTTGTGCACAGAGTACGAGGCCAGGGAGAAGGGTCCAAGATAAGCAGCTGGGGAGGGGGGTGCTGAGAGTGGGAGTTTCCTTCTGTCACCCCTGGTAAGGCGTCTAGTTGCTCTTTCCAGGAACAGGTAGACTATGTGGATTGGAGACATGAGTGAAACTGAGAGAGAAATAACTCCTTTCTCCCCATGGCTGCTGTCAGGGATCAGCTGTTGTGCCATGCGGAGCTCTGGCTGCCCCTAAAGGCACTGCTCTCCTGAACCAAGAAAGTGGGAACTCGGAATCCCAGCTTGCAGCCAGTAGAGTGTGGAGGGCAAGGTGGCATCCTGGCCTTTCAAGGCTCCCAAGACCTATCCTCTCACTCAATGCCAAGCCCCGATTCCTCACCCTCCTACTGGGAAAGGGTTTGCAGGGCGAAGGGACCCAGACAAATGGAAGGAGGTTGCTGATGCCAAATATGGTCTGGCTGTGGCTGGCCTCTCTACTTGGACACTCTGGGGCAGGGAGTGGTCGTTGAAGGGGCATGATGACAGCCTAGGATGGCTCTCGGGGTGGAGGGTAATGCTCAAAAGTGCTAAGGGAGTTTCTGGCCTAACAGCAGGTATATGCTGAGGACCTGGCCTAGAGGGATCTGGAAACCGGAGCAAACCAAAAGTAACCCTAATCAGGGAGGGAAGTTGGGGCATCCAGCAGAAAGACCTCAGCTCGGGCAGGAGAGTCAAAGCCAGTTGGGGCCTCCTAGGGCCTGGGGCAAAGTCACAGACCAGGAAGCCTCTGGATGCAACTTTATATGGCCTGAGGCACAAACAGGAGGAGCTCTGTTGTCCAAGGTCCTGGAGGCCAAGGGAAAGTAGACAGTTGGTCTCAGCCTGGGGCAGAGGTCTGAGGCCTGCAGACAGTGCCTATTGCTGCAGAATGTTCTAGGCTGAGGAAGCCCACAAGGTGGTGAGGGCCTCTGGAGGTATTCCTGGCTCTGTGCCATCTGTGCTTTGCATGCCCCCACACTGGTGTAAAGTTAAGGATGACACAGGAAGTGGTGGCAGCCACGGGGTCTTGAGGAGGACAGAGAAGAGCCTGGGCCAGGGTGTCTGTGGAAGGACCACTTATGTTCTCCCCTATTACTTAAAAAGACAGGGCAGGAGGTGGTCTATAAGCTGCAGGCTACAGTGTTGACTTTTAGGATGTCGGACACTTGGGCCTTCCTGGATCCCTTCCTCCATAAAAAAAATATTAAAAATGGCATTTTCTGAATGCATGATGTAAAGACTCATCAGTTTGGGCTGGATCATAGTTTAAAAGAACTGAAAGGCTCTCCATGGGTCCCTGAGGGAGTCCAGAGCATTACATCCAGAGACCCTGACTACATAGGGACTACATACGGGACTCATTGCCCCATCTCCCTCTCTGGAGGTCTTGGCCTGATCCGGAGGCGGTGGTGTACTTATGATTTGCTCTGGGTGGGAGGCCACAGGTGGACACAGCCTCTCTGCATGCTGTGTGGAGTCCTGAGCTTTGCACTACATGAAATTGCTGCTACTCTCCACTCTCTGATCTGTGAAGATGGCAACTTCATATGGTTCAACCTCCTGCTTCTTCTCTCTCTCCAGCCAGCTCAGCAACTCGCCCACTGTGGTGCAGAGGCCGCCTTCAGGGGCGGAGTGGGCCGGCAGGGTGGTCTGGCAGTGGGTGGTCTTGCTACAAGGGGGGGAAAGGGGCTCTGGTGTCCCTGCCCGGTGTGCAGGGCCACACAGACACTGGTGGGGGGGCACCCTGCTTTCCAAGTGCCATCAGTCTCCCTGGAACAGGAAAGGCTGGTTTCTCTCTCCCCACCATCTCTGGCGGAGACAGTGTGCTGGAAGGCTGACAGGCTGCCTGACTCTCCTTGGCACCCGTGCCAGGGACTCAACCACAAGTAACAGCATGAAGGGGGCCTGTCAAAAGCTGGCGGCATGCTGCCAACACAGCCACGGGCACGACTGCTGCTCTGCCTTGGCTGCCCGCTTCCCAGAGGGGCCCCGGGCTCTCTGCTGAGCTGCTCAGAGCTGCACAGGGCAAAACCTGGGCTTCATCAACACCATGCATGAAGCCAGGGAGCAAAAACATTCAAGACCGCCCCCCCCCCCCCCCGCCCCCGGAGGCGGGGGCAAGTCACTGACCAAAGAGAGGAATTATGCCGTGTGACAGATTGGTAAGTGCTGGGGAGAAGAAGGGGGAGGCAGAGGAACCGAGGTCCTCCCTGAGCCTCAGTTTCTCCACCTGTAAAATGGGCATGATTAGCCCAGCTGGGAAGAGAGACACAGAGTTGGGGGCTGGGCACAGAAGGGTGGGAAGCTGCTGATATGTCTTCCCGGGATGGAGAACACAAGATCTCAATTGTCCATGAGAACAGAGGGAGGGGCCAGGTGGATAATGGCAGTTATCATGGGAAAGGAGCACAAAGGTCCTGGGCAAGGGACGGTGTGTTCGGGGTCAGGCTTTTTGCACAGAAGGAAGGGTTCACAACTGCAAGGCTGTGGGTTCAGAGTAAGGGCTAGGCAGAGGCCGAACAGGCTCTGGGAAGCCAGGGGAGGGGCCGCTGGTATGCAAGGTGGGCAGGTGGCAAATGGTCGAGGGAGGGACAGAGGGGGAAGTAGGTTTCTCTGAGCTTGAGGATCAGGACTCTAGGTGGCCGTGGGTCACAAAAGGCCAACAGACCTTGGCCTCCATTCCTCTTTCCAAGGTACCAGATTACCCTGTCTGCCTTCAACGCTGACTCTTCAGTCTCTTCGCCCGGAGGCTCGCTAGCCCTTCAGGGCCAGTTCAGTGGACTGTCTTTCCAGGGCTCTACCTAGGGCTCCGAGGCCCTCAGACTCCTGCTGTCCCACATACCTCTCCTGGGGGCTGTGGGGAGGGAGGACAGCACTGAGCTTACGGGCTGGCCCAGGAGAAGGGTGACTGCTTCCTGAATCAATGAGTGAGCAAGCACACACACCTGCGAGGGGGAGGCCTAGGAGAACAGGCAGGGACAGGCCAGCGCGCTGGAAGCCTGCCACTGATGTTTCTCGCCTGGGCACTGCAGGCCCCCGGTCTGGCCGGAGTTCTGAGGCTGGCTTGGCCACAGACACTGATGCTGTCACTGTGTGGCCTCCAGCAGAGGCTGGCTGATGGGGCCTCAGAGTGCTCAGCCTGCTGAGATCAAAGGTGACCCAGGCATAGCAGAAGGGCAGGGTTGTCCAGCTCTGCCACACAGCTCCAGGCCCTTCTGGAAACCTCGGGGCTGGCACCAGGAGGGAGATTCTCCCATCCCTGCTGGGGCAGTTCTACGGTGCCCGGCAGAAGCCTGGATTAGAATAGGCGTTTGAGACACGTGGGTTAAGTGAATAAGTGATACACAAGAATGAGCGAAGGAAGCAATGAGCAATCCTTTGGTTCATGGACAGCACCGCTGCACTCTCAGCTGAGCGCTAAAGGTGGGCCCAGGTTTTCTGAGCCAAGGCACATGCCCCAGCAGTACTCAGCCAAGTCTCCTGCTCCACCTTGTCACCCCCAGCCTCCCCGATCACACACCACAGCCGCTCCCAGCTCTGTGGTTGGCTCTGCTGCCACATTTGGTGGTCACACAACCCTGGGTCAGGAGGGACAGCTGCTTGGGGTCCACATCCCTCTCATACTTTAGACCTCCTCAGATGCCCCCACCAGACCTCAGGAGCCCGCAGGTTGGAGCAGGGAGGCCAACTCGCCTCCCACAGTATGTTTGTTGCTAGATTTAGAAGCTGCTGCTTTAGGCTCCCAGTGTTCATTTATCTTGGCTCTAGAGAGGGAGGGTGGTGGGTAGGTGAAGGGGCGACTGGGAAGGTGGATGAGTCCTTGACATGGGCACCCTTGAGCTTGCCGGGGAGAGAGTGTGCTGGCCTGGCACCTACAACCTGGAGCCCAGGGCCTTTCTGGGCATCTACTGCTTGTTTCCTACCCAGTGGGAGGGCTCAGAAAGAGACCTCCCCTAGGCAGGCCAGGGCCACCAGAGCAGAGGGAAGTGGCAGGGATGGAGCATTTCCCTGGCTGCCAGGTCACCTCACTGTCCTTTTCTGGGTGTGGCGGGGTGGGAAGAAACAGAAATGCCCTTGTGGGCCAGGCTGGCGCTGCCTGACACGCCGTCTTCCAACAAACTCTTCCTGGGAAAACACACCCGCTGCCATGTGGCCAACCCGGAAGCCCCAGGGGGCTCTGGTGGACCAGGCCAGGAGTGCACAGAAGCTGGGCACTGAGGAGGGCAGCAGTGTCCTCACCACCTGGACTCTGCAGGCTCACTCTTGAGACCTCACATCCTGAGTGAATATGATGTTACTGGAGGCCCTACAGACGTGGGTAGAGAAGGAATCTGGGGTAGACGGGGTGTCTGTCCCCTTACCTGGGCCACAGGCCATGTCCAGTGGCCACACGAGTAAGACTTGCATCTAAGACTAGCTCAGTGGTTCCTGCCAACTGCGTTTTAGGTACAGAGGTCACTGTCTCCCAGAGCCTCAGGCTACTGATCTGTAAAATGGAGCTCTACCAGCCAGGTGGCGCTAGCCCCAGGAGGAGGAAAGAGACTGTGGGACTCAGAAAACCTGGGCCCACCTTTAGCTCTCAGCTGAGGTCAGCCTGGGCAACTTAGACTCTGTCTCAAAATAAAAATAAAATGAGGGATGGGGATGTAGCTCAGTGATAGATGTCACGGGGTTCAATCTCCAGTGCTGGAAAAACAAACTAAAAAACAACAAAAAACCAAACAGGCCCCCACCAACCCCAAAACTCTATATACATATGAATGCAGGTTTATGACCCCAAAATACAGATTTCTCAAATCTCTAGTGACCAGTGGCCAGAAGTTTTGAGAAATACCACACTCTGGGCAAAATGCAGATATGGTTCTAGGTTGATTTACCTCACGACAAAGAATCTCTAGAACAGTTCTAAATCACTTCCCACGCACCGACAGTAAGAGCACAGTGGTGCAGGAGGGTCTGGGGGCCAAGTGTCTGGCTAGTTCTCCATTCCTTACCTTGCTGGTGGCAGTGGCAGGGGAGCCAGGCAGCACAGGTGTGTTGGTGACCTGCACGTTCAGGTAATTATTGTCGATGAGTGGCCAGGCGCCCTGCACCTTGCAGGTCTGGAAGCGGTCTGTGAAAGTCCTGAGGTGCGGGTCCCCGAACAGACCACAGTGCGTGTAGTTGGGGGCGGCTGAGTGCTTGTGGAAGCTCTTCTCGTAGTGGCAGATCTCGGGGCTGTCCGAGCGCTCCTGGCTGTCCCCCGCTGGTGGAAGTGTGCGCAGGCGAGGCTGCGAGGTGGGGCCATCCTTGGAGCAGTTGTGCTGGCTCATGAGGTCCTCTATGCCATGGACTGCGGAGTGGTAGGCCAGGTCACCCCGGCAGGTGCGGGCCGTCCGCCGCGTGCACAGGGCGTAGGTGCGCAGGGCAGCGCAGAACTCAGGGGCGTCGTCAGAGGCCGGGCTGTGGCTGCCGGACGTGGCGCTCCAGAACTCAGAGTTGCACTTGAGGATCTTGCACGGGGAGATGGCTGTGGAAGGGAATGGATATACCATCAGGGCAGGGCCCAGGGACTTCAGGCCCCTTCTCCCCTGTGTGGCTGGGATGCAGGGAACACACACCCATACCGCATGTTTGCAGATGGTGAGAATTTTCTGCAGGTGCTTGTAAAAGGTGGCACCTGCCCTATCTGGCCTTCTGGATTCTCTTGCACAGCTGGTAATGAGCTGGAACGGCCAGACATGCAGACCTGCATGTTGAAAGAGCAAGTGAGGCACCTCCCAGCTTAGATAGCAGAGGAGTGGTCAGCAATTCCATGCAGCAGGACTGTGGGAACCGACAGGCCATTCTTGGGCCTCTGACACTTGTGTAGACTTTCATGGCTAGCCTCAAGAATTTTGGCATGAAGCAAGAGAAATTTGGCAGGAATTTAGGCTCCACTCTTAAATGTGTCCCTAGTTCTGCCACTGTTGACCTTGTGCAAATTACTTAACTTCTCTGTGCCTCTTTATATTCATCTAGAAAATGGGAAATAGGATTTACAGTGTGAGGTCATTGAGAGTGTTAAATGATTTGTCTCATGCATAGGACTTTGGATGCCACTGGCATATATAGCCAAGCTCAAAGACCACTGGCTGCTATGATTCTATTAGGCCTGATCATTAGCACCTGGCTTCTGTCGTGGTTACTGTAGCTCCCATCTCCATCTTGCAAGTTGGGAGTCTGAGAGTGGTAACCTTGGATCTGCCCTAATTTGTGTGTGTGTGTGTGTGTGTGTGTGTGTGACTCACAAGCTTTGAGACCTTATTAATGATTAGCCAAGATGACCATGCCTAAGAACTGAGGCTTTAACACACCTGAATCTTGAATCTGGACTTGTAGAACTTGCCCTTTCCTGGCCTTCTGTGTTCTTCTGCACAGTCCATAGTGACCACAAGTGGCCAGGCAGGCAGACCTGCAGTAGGTTCGAGGCTTCCATACAGGTCCCAGGACAAAGGGGCTGGTGGATCAGTTGAGAGGCCCGGTCTCTGAGGTCACAGCCCAGTGCTGGGTGAGGTGGCCTTCAGTCATTGCCCCCATCATTCCAAGTTGGGACCCTAACTTAGTCTGTGACCTTGAAAACACCAGTTTGCTTTTCTGATGCTGGATTTACTTATAAAATTGAGTTGGACGTAAAAGCAGGAACAAAAATATTCACGAGCAGGCTAATGAAAGAATCCAGGAGCATTCGGCCATCCCAGAGGTGCCCCATGTGATGCCGTCTGCACCAGGTGTCCACCCTCTACCTGGCTGACCCCTCTCCTGGAGCTTCTCCCACCCACCCTTCCAAAGTGGAAATCGCCTGTCCAGGACACACACCGGAGCCCGAGGGCCAGTGCTTTCCTTGTCGTGGGACCTGTGCTTGCATCATTGTTGATAAACAAGGTCGTTTCAGGTGGTATCTGGGTGAATGTTTTTTCTTTTAATTATTTAAATGAGCACCATTAATTATTTAAATGAGCACCAGGAAAATAATTTTGATGGGAAAGCTGTAGCTTTTCCATTTAAGTTGAAGAAGTAGGTTGGCCCAACAGCACTTAGGTGGAGCCCTCTCTGCAGAGGAGCCCAGGCAGGGTAAGGTGGGCCTGGGGATCTGCACTTGGCTCAAGACCCCGGGGTCACTTTGGATTGGCCAGGCTTCAGAGTGAGGTCGTATCCTTTGCAATAGTCACAAAGGGCCAATTTAGAAATGGCTTGTCTGGGGTGTGTCCCATTAGGGACACTTCCTCTGGGGTGGGACAGGGGCCGGTGGTGAAGAATCAAGAGTCAGCTCTCCCCAAAAGCAAAGAGCAGGAGCATGTGCAGCCGCCTTATCACCAAATTAGAGCCACCGGAGGCCACAGAATGAGGCCCTCCCTGCCACTGCGCTCATCCACGAGCCCTTTGCCTGCTCCCCTCCCTTCCCAGAGTGCACCATCCTAGGAGCAGCGTCCTGGCTAAGTGGGCATGGCTGCCTGCCCACCTATTGCTCACAGGTGGTGACAGAGGTCACTCTTGCACTCAGGAAATTCAGTGTCACCAAGTAGGAGGGGACAGATTTATGTCATGGGGCAATGCCCAATAGGAGAATCTCACCAACGTGGGGACCTATTTGGGGAGGCAGCAGTGGGACAGACAGCCAGGGTCAATCCAGCTCTGCCATGCCATTGCTGTGTGACTACAGGCAAACTTACTGACCTCTCTGAACCACGGAGAAGCATAGGAATCTCTCCACAGGTGCACTGAGGGGGACTAGGGTTACTGATGAAAGCAGAGCCTGGAGAACTCAGGAAAGAAGCTCCACAAAAAAAGATGTTTTTGTGTTGTTAATTCTGTTCTGTTAAATTTATGGGGGAGGCTGACAGAAATCACATAATGTGTACTGAGCATGTACTACGTGCGGGATGCTGTACGTGTGTCTCTTTTAACCCTATGACAGCCCTGGGACTTAGTATCCCCATTCAGCAGACAAGTATACTGAGGCTTTCAGGCATTAAATAGCTCCTCTCCCAGCTTTCTGGATGGAGGGTGGATGCCAACCCAGCTCTCAGGCTCTAAGTTGCTTTCCCTCCCAGCCTTTCCAAGCAGCACCAGGTCCTGAGGGGACCACAGGATGAACAAAGACCCAAGTTCTGCTTCCTGCCCTTGAGAGGGCTTACTGGGGAAGGGGCTGTGCACCCATGACTAGACTGGGAGAGAGCGTGGGATGGATACAGCAGTGGGCAGACACACAGGTTGGGCCTCACCTCAGAAGAAATAACCATCAGGACAATAAGGCCTTGAACTCTCTTGGCCGTGTGCAAGTGACAAGCGGCTTTCATATTGCATCTTCACTATTTACCCTAAGCAGAAGATGAGAATTTCTATTATTTTATTTGATGGATGTAAGTGCACAGGACTTGGGGACTGGAGCTAGCCGGGGTCACACAGCCACAAGTGCTGTGGTGCTGAGTGGTTTCTATGCTTTTCAAAGTGTAATTGCCGTAAGAGTCCCTCCTGGAGATAACAGCTGAGAATGACCCACTCCCCAAAGGTCCAAAAGCACAACGTGGCTTCTCCTCCCAAGCCTGGTTCTGATGCAGCCACGTGTCAAATCCATTCTGAGCGCGTCCTGAAGAAAGGCCTGCAGGGAGCCCACCAGGGGCAGATGTTGCTGAGAAACAGCCCATCTCTGACTCATGCGGCTCCCCGGCTGCCCAAAGTGCCCAGGGGACCTTGAGCCAGCCTTGCAAACCTTCCTTGGTGCTTCAGAGGAAACCCAAGGGCTTCCATCCCACATGGGGAAACTGGAGCTCAGAGCAGGGGAAGGGGAAGGGGTTACTGAGCTGCTACTGACGGTGGCAAGCTGGTACCAGAACTGGGGGTGCCTGTTGCCCTGTGCCTTCTCTTCAGATGGTAACACTGCTCTCTGGGGCTTGTTGGCCTAAAGTAGACATGTTGGGATGTCATTTCCCAGGAACTTCAGAGAGGGTCTTTGGGGTTACCAGGGCTGGACTGTCCCCGTGGGTGGTGAGCTGAGAGGCCCTTAACCCTCACAGAGCTATCCCACTGGCCCATGTCCAGTGTCCTAAATCACCAACTGCAAGTCCGCCAGAGGTCAGGGACTGAATGTAATCTGGTCCAGCATCAAAAGCAAAAGCTGTGGTGTCACCTGCCAAAGAGATTCCAGAGGGGCTGATTTTTATGTGTATCTTAAAAAAAAAAAGTACAAGACCTTAATTTCAGGCAGTAAACCTTGGAATTCTGAAGCAAGTGTCCAAGGAAGGGGGGGGGGTAAGTTTGAAACAGATCTTATAGCAACTCAGGAAGCAGCACAAGGAAGCCAGCTTTTCAGCACAAGTCACCCTCAGTGCTTTCAGCAAGGCAGAGGGAGCTTGCCGCCCTGGAGAGTGGCAGCTGACCAGTCCCACCTGGGCACTGCAAAGGGGAGAGTGGCCCCTTTTAGTCCTGTATCCTCTGGGTGGATCCAAGATAGCCTCTATGCATGGAGTGGACCTGATTAGAAGTTTTCCTAAGCTTTCATTTCTACTCCAGCCACTGACTTGTTCTTGGATAGCAGCGGTGCCTCACAGACACCCCAGAAAAAGGCAAAAGTGCCTCGTAGAGCTTATGCCCTTCAAAAACACATTGGTGAGGCATTGTGTACTTTGCATATTTTCATTTGACCCAGGCCTTCTGATGTCTGGAACTTTTAGGACCAGCTGTTGGACAAACAGGAGAGCCCTGAGACCCTAGATGGGAGACCCACAGAGACAGTGGACTGGCCCTGCCCAGACTCACCAACAGGAAGCCCTTGAATTAGATCCATCACCCTGCCCCGCCAGGCAGGGGATGTGGATCAGAGTGAGGCCCAGGCATGCTTAGAGGACAGGGTGGGCTCCCAGACCCCGCAGGGTGCAATGAGCCTTTAGTGCTCAGCCTGGGACCCCAGGCAATCCTATGACCCATTAGTTCTTGACTTGTGCAATGGAGCCAGAGCTGCACAAAGGATCACTGTGACCAATCGCAATGTTCACTTTTTAAGGTGCACCACAGAAATCTAGAACTTGGGAGCTGGGGAGGATGCCAGAGCTTACCAGTTGCCACCCTCCGCTGTCCCAGAGGCAGGACACTCCCTACAGCACTCTTGCCAGGGCAGAACTGGCCCCTCCTGCTCTGGACAGCTCCAGTTCCTTCCCTAGGGTCTCCATTCTTCTCTAGAGCCATACAGAAAAGGCTAAAATATAATTGTCCTACATTTGTTATTTAGTATTTATCAAGACTGCCACTGGGCTTTCCCGCATCACCTTCTCAGGCCTAGTCCTTCAGCTGCTCTTCCTATGGACCTCACTGGGCCATCTGTGCCATCCCAACACCTAACTGGGCTTCCTCTGGCCACCAAGATGCATCCTCCCTATTTGCCTGGGAATCTCCCAAGAATGCGGCCCCCATCTTCGTCCTGGCATCTGGTGGCTCCCACACAGCACACTCAAAAGCACCCCTGAGATGATTTGATGCCTCTTTTTACTCTGT